TCTGTTATTTACCCCTCTGAATTGAATTTGAAAAATCACTTAAAATGAAAGCCAAATCATTGACGTTTTTGTTCTGCGCTGGGGTTGGGGGAGGGCTGATGCTTTGTATGAGTTAAAAGAACAGATTACCCTCTCCTTTCTTTTTATTTGTAGTTAAGACATATTTGAATATATTTATGGAAGATAGTACAATAATTCAATTGTTATAGTCAATGTATAATGATCCAATCAGGGTAATTAGCACATCGATCTGCTCAAATATTTATTATTTCTATGTGTTGGAAAACATCTGTCTCTTCTAGTTATTTTTAAGTATGTCAAAATTGTTGTAGACAATAGTGACCCTACTGTGCTACAGAACACTGGAAGTGATTCCTCCTATTTGTCCTCATTTCTTGCCTTTCTCCTCCCTGCATGATACTGAAGAAAGAGAGGGAAAACATAACTGTCCAGGGCTGTGAAATGGTTTGCAAGGACTTCCTGTGAGCTTCCTCTTTGGTTTTTCTTAGTCCCTGTGGAAAACAGTTTCTCCCTCTCTGCCTGTCTGTCTCTCTCTCACTCTCTCTGTGTAACCAGTGTAGGAAAAAAAGAAACTGGCTTAAGAAGACTGTCACTTATGAAATAAAATCCAACATTTAGCTATTAGAAATGCCTGAGGAACAGATAATGTTCAAGCATATATTGTTTAATGAATGGGTCTTAACTTTGAGCTAACTGCTCTAATAAATTTGCACACAATTAACAAGGACCCTAGTCACACTTCCAGTTGTCTGTCTTAAGCTTTCCTTTTTATTAAAACTTAAATTAAAGATTAAAGCCATTAGTTTCCATCCATCAAAGATAATACCCATGAATTTCACAAATACAGCACCAGTGTCCAACACAAATATAATGTGAACCATAAATGCAAACCACATATGTAATTTTAAAACGTTCTAGTGGCCACATTTAAAAAGTAAAAAGAGTGAAATTAATGTTAATAATGTATTTAACTAGGCTTAGTATATCCAAAACATTATCATTTCAATACAATTATAATATAAAAATATTAATGAGATTTTAACCTATTTTGTACTATGCCTTTAAAATCCAGTGTGCATTTTATATTTATTGCACTAGTCAAGTGTACAAGAGCCACATGTGGATTGGCTACCATATAGGACAGTGCAGAGCTAGTATCCCACGGATAAGGGCTCTCTACTGCTTATACCAATTTTGTTGTTATGAAATAAAATGGAAAGAGAATACTGTCTGCTATAGGAGTACTACAATATTTCCCCAATTGCAGCATAGCAGTACCAAGTACTGTATGGTGGAAAAACAGATTTTGTGACTAAGTAAGTTAGGGATGTTTTAGTCTTTTATCCTCTTTTGGAGATTCCATGGCACATTAACAAATACAGACTCTTAAGCCAACTCCTGGGTAAAGAATCCTGTTTGAAGTTGAGTTCTGTGTCCATAAGTATTGTAGAAATTGCCACGAGTGTCTCTACGGAAAAAAAACAAAAACAAAAACAACTTGGTGTTTTCATCTCCTTCTTCATGCTCTTTGGAGCATCTCTACTCCCCCCCCCCCCCCCCCCCCCCCCCATCACCTGAGAACCAAGTTAACTTTTTTGTTCTAGAACAACCACTTCCTAAACTGAAACCATCATATGGCTTTAAGTTCTTCCACATGGACATAGATCTTCAGAAAGTACCTAAATATACACATTCTTCTTAACTTTCAGACATGATGAATACTTTAAAAAGATGAGGGAAGAAACATCAGAATGTGTACTTGTGTAAACACAGAATCTATCCATGTCGAGTTCTGTAGATGCTTTCTTTTTATGTGTATGGTGTTAATTTCCACGCTTCACTGTGTACTCTTCTTGTATTGTGTATGAAGTAACTGACATAGCAGTCAATTTAAAGAAGATTTAGACTATACTTGTCTACTGTCACTCTTTAACAAATGACCTTTTTGCAACATGATTTTACTGGGGCCTGTGATGCTGTCCCCATAAGTTCACTTTTAAGATCTGTGTTTAAGTGGCAATTACCACTAAATTAATTCTGCCACTGAATTTGGTTCAAGTGGCTGTAATAACCTCATATGTGGATGTATTCAAATAAGTAGATTGATTTAAATGATCGATTTTGTCTCCTATTTTTTAGGACTTTAGTTTTTCAGTATTAGAGATGTCTTCTGAAGACTGTAGTAGCAGTAAAGAATTCTTTTGATCTTGGAAATGCAGTAGAACATGTTTTTTACATAGACTCTCCAGGAGCAGGAGTGGAGTATTCTAAGTGTAAAAGTTTGATTTTAGAATCTGATAAGGAAGGGCAATCCATTCTCTAAAAAGGTAACAGCTTCCCCAACTTTGAACATTCAGAGGAGTTCTGCTTGGAAGGGAAGTCTGAATTTTAATCTCTTGGATTTAATGGCGCTAAATTAACAAAAATTTAAAAAATAGATTTTGTAGAATTCAATTATTAGAGAAAACACTTTGTAAAGCCATATACAACTGAGGAATAGTCAAACATTATATATTAGCTTGAGAATGTGCATTTCCCAAATGAATAGAATTTACTTTACAAAAAAAATTTTTTTTCACAATTCACAATACTTATAGAAATACGATTGTATCATTGGAAAAAAAGAACTCATTTTCCTAATGATACATTTCACAAGTAGCAAATTAGTGCTATTCCGTGATTATGGTGGGGGGGGAGTGTAAAGGAATAAAATGCCAATATAGTATAACTGTTTATTCCTAACTAGGAATAAATAATTACCATTATTTAAAGTACTACTGAATTTTGAAGAACTGCTCAGTGAATGAGTGTTATTAGTAAAATTGTATTCTTTACAATATATTTGTCTCAGCACAGATGCAGAGTTAAAAACATAAATTATAAAAATATACCAAATAATAGAAATTAGTCGTTACTACTTTAAAATCCTATTAATCTGTTGTGTATAACAAAAATTTTGAAAGACTTGCACACAAAATAAAAGGCTTTAAAAACAATGCCTTTTTGTCAAAACAAGTCAGCAAGCTGACCTCTTGTTAATTATTTTAGTTCCTTAGGGGAACTTTAAATTGCTTTCAAAGACACATTAGTAACAAGTGGTTCTAAATTTAGAGCAGAACATTCTGCCAGAAATTTTACTGTATCACAAAATGTCATACTACCACACTTTCTAATAAAACCAAACTCTCAAGTATCCTGATATGTTACATATTATACCAAAACATCACTTTCTATAAGTCTATTATTCTGTATACATAATATTTTTAAGAAGTAATGACTATTTCGGTCCTAGTAAGAAAATATAGTGCAAAATATGACATCAAATTGATCTTTAGTGATTTTAGTGAAAATCCACTTAGGCGTTTGTCAAGGACACTAGCAATTACAAGCTGTAACGTACATGTTATTCTCAAAGATAAAATGGCAAATGACAACAGAGAAAGACATGGTCACTGGGGTAAATTAGTTGGTGTACAGACCAACAAAGAAAGATCGACTTAAAAATGCTCAGCGGATTTTAGCTTTTGTTCCTGGTTGTTCCTGGAGTGGGAAGTACTACAGTTGATATTGCTTTTCTTCTTGTAAGGAGTTTGCTCAAAGCCACTGCATAGTATGATGAAATATCTTCAGATGGAAGATTGAGTCAGAAGATTAGAGATGCACCTGTTTATAAAACTGTTACTATGTTCTAAACACTGTGATCTTTCCAATATGTTTTCTGTATTAGTTTTGTACTTGTAGAAAATAATTTGCCATAAACTGGTCTTTATAGTGTTTAAAGTGATGTTATTTATTGGCTTACTGCCTCCCTGCACCATAACACAGTCCACTTAATAATGTAAAACCTGTGATAATCCTTGGCCTTAAAATCTAATGCTAAATAGTTACTGTGTTCCAATTAATAATATAAGCTACTAATTAATTTTCCTTTGAAAGCTAAATAAAACATTATACAAATACTCTGGAGTGCTGCTGCTGATTTTGTGTTGGTGACAGTGTGTGTATCTTGATCCAGGGCATGGTGGCCTGCTGGGTTCTATAAATAGACATTAGTAATCCTTTTGGAAAAAGGGCCTGGTACCTCTCAGCTTTTCGCTGAATCCTCCCCTCAACCCTTATAAATAGATTTTCCCTTATCACATAACAACTAAGATAAAAGCTCATCATGTTCTCTCCCTCCACTTTCTTTGTCTTGATCCCAACTAAATTTTCACATTCTGAGTTCACATTATTTTCCTAAATAGAAAAATGCCTGAGACGCCTGAAGATTGAAATCACCCAATTTCAGCAGGGAAAGAGATCTTATAATTATTAAAATCTAATTCCTGTAGGGATAGGTTAAAACCCGGGTTTTAGAGAGATTTAGCGGCCTGATGAAGGTCTGAGGGACAGGGGTGGGCTGAGTCCACCCTGATGTCTAGAAGGTGGCTTCAATTTCAGTCGGTGAAAAGGAATTGTGTTAGTTTTAGGATTGGCACAACAGCAAGCAGAGGTATGCTTGGCCAAGAAAACTGCTTCCTTATTAGGCCCTGGTCTTTGACCTGAGTTAGTCAGTTACAGAGGAATACATTTTGTAGGCGGGTTCTGGGAGGAGAGGCTTTGGCTCCTAGATTATCTGATGCTCTTTCCCTACTAGCAATGCTTCAGAGCACTATATTTGGAAGACAAGGGGCCTGCTCGCAGACAAAGTGAAAAGTTCAACTATTCCCTGTCACAGTGGTGGGTCATGGCAATACACTTGTACTTTGAAAAGGATCTCTGTGGTCTGATTATTTTAAATGATGCCAAACTCTAGTCTTTTGAAGAATCAGGCGTTTCCTTGGCCCTGAAAATAAGAGACCGGGCTGGAAAGGCGGCCAAATCCTAATTCTGGGCCCTGTTGGTTGCAGTTTTTCAAAGGGATGTGACCAGTTTCCACAGACTGAACCGACCAAGGGACTCTAGGACCCAGAGGCTGCACGCGCGGCGAGCCGTGCCGGCTGTCTCCTCTCGGACTCCCGGCGTGGCGCGGAGCGCCTGTCTCAGGGCGCGGGTTCGCGGCCCGCCCGGGGACCGTCACTACAGAGACGCAGTGGGCATTCTGGCGCGCGGGCGGCGCACGGTGCGCGTGGGCGTGTCCCATCGGGGCCGCGCCGCCCGCCCCACCCCAGCCGGGTTGGTTACCCCCCAGGCCCAGTTCTAACGCCCGGGCCGGTCGGCCGGGCCCGCGTGCCCTCGGCGGGCTGCGCACAGCGCGGGAGTTGGTCGGGGCTGGGCATGTCAGGAACCCCTAGGGTAACCGCCACTGCCGCCGCCGCCGCCGCTGCTGCTGCTGCCGCCGCCGCCGCCACAGCCACGGCCACAGCGTCCGTCCCCGGTCCGCCCCGCTGAAGCGCGGAGATGAAATTCCCGGCCTCGGTGCTGGCGTCGGTGTTTCTGTTCGTAGCCGAGACGACGGCGGCGCTCTACCTGAGCAGCACCTACAGGTCGGGCGGGGACCGCATGTGGCAGGCGCTGACGCTGTTTTTCTCGCTGATGCCCTGCGCGCTAGTGCAGCTCACCCTCCTCTTCGTGCACCGCGACCTGAGCCGCGATCGCCCGCTCGTGCTGCTACTGCACCTGCTTCAACTCGGGCCCCTGTTCAGGTGCGTGCGGAAGCCGGGAGCCAGCCTAGGCCGCAGCCCCCGGCCGGCTCCCCCCACCTGCCCGAGCGAGGGGGGCGGCCTTCCGGTAGGGACAGGTGGCTTGGCCCGAGGCGACCCGCCCTCCCCTCCAGCCTCGCGATTCCAGTCACCAGAATGTGGCAGGATCCTAGTATAATGACACTAAAGCTGCCCCCCCCCCGCATTCCCGTCAGGTACCATCATGTGAACTTGTCACCTGAATTTGACCGACAAAAATGGCAGCTTCGTGGGGTTCCTTCTCCGCGGTCCAGGGGGCGCCGGCAAAATTGGCTTGTATAGTCACCGATCCTTGGAAGCGGGTTCTAAGCCGCTTTTAAAGCAGGCGGTTTCGTTTGATTTATCAGACACGTGGAGCTTGCTGTGTGCCAGGCACTGTTCTAAGTGCTTCGCAAATACTAGTGTATTTAATTGGCATACAGGAGTCTAGAAATCCACGTACCTGTCTTTTGTCTCGCTGGTATGATGATTATTATGGAGTATGGAAACATATGGGGTCGTAGAAATGTCTTCCAGCCCTGCCTAAGTTATAAACATAGTCGTGAAAGCTAGTACACAATGGGCCATGAAGATAACAACTGGCTATGTGTTAAAAAGAACTGTCAGTGACATTTCTGGAAATAGTTTTTATGACCACAAGGCAAGTAGAAATAAATATATGGGAATGAAACAGACTTTGCCTTTATCTAAGGCCTTTGAAGGGAGTTTAAAATGTGTTGTCTTCCTATCTTTCATCTCTAGGATAAGCAAAATAAACGGTTTTCTATCTGGATTCGAAACAAATTTGTAATCCTGAATTCGAAATAGAGGTGACAGAGGAATTTGAAGAGAGAAAGACCAGAGACACATCTCAGGGACTACAAAGTTCAGCTAACCAAGAACATTTCCTACCAGGAAATCAAACTGTCTCTTCTCCACTCACACAAGCACCACACACCCACACCCACACACAACATCACATACACACAGTTGGGTAGCAGGATAGAGTTTACAAAGCCCTATTAGAAAACGTTTGCACTTCCCATTAAAAACAGACATTCCAGCTGACACTGGTTTACACATAGTCATGGCAAACTTGGTGAACAAGTTTCCCAGCCTCCAGAAGCCCTGGAATCCTAGAAACAAAGAGAAAAGTGTGTGCTGGCAGAAGTGACAAGTTGCTACTGTTGTCCTGACAGCTGAGCAAGAATCAAAGGAGGAAAAAGAGAGGGAGGGGGGAGGTGAGGGAAAGTTTACAAAGTCCTGTCACCTGGAGCTGTTTAGTGAAGAGAAAGTCCTTCTAGCCAATCAAGCCCTGTGGTCCCAATAGTGTTCCTGCTGAGTTTAAAAAAAAAAAAAATGTGATCTGACTTTGGGCAAGGCACTCATCATTTCTTAACTTCAACAGAGAAACTCAGTTCAGTGGCTTGACATGGGAGAACTGTCATTTCTCAAAAGCTTCTTCTGTTAGGTGGTTCAGTATGTTCCCTGTTTGTTGACTCATCACTATGAGGTAGCTGTAATTGCCCCCACGATTTTTATTTATTTATTTAGGTGATGAGGATGGGACCCAGGGCCTTGTGCATGCTAAGCCAGCACTCTACCACTGAGCTACACCCCCAGCCTTTGTCCTCTCTCTCCCTCCCTTCCTTCCTTCCTTCCTTCCTTCCTTCCTTCCCTCCCTCCCTCCCTCCCTCCCTCCCTCCTTTCTTTCTTTCTTTCTTTCTTTCTTTCTTTCTTTCTTTCTTTCTTTCTTTCTTTCTTTCTTCTTTCTTTACTTATTTTCTGTACTAAAACAACCTTTATTGACAATTTGGGTTCTGGGGTAAGGGAGGCCCCTTTCCCCACTGTGTCCCCACTTTATAGATGAGGAAAATGACATGCCAGACCATGTTCCCAAGGCTTCTTAAAAAATGGAATCAAGTTATTTATGTTTACTATGCTCTATGAAAGAAAGCAGAGTGTATAGTACATCTTATTAGTAGTTCTGCCTTAAGAAAAAGTTTTAAATTTTAAAGCTAAAACAACCTAAATAGCCATCTAAGTAAATGAGAATACCTATCATTGCCGTCATTTAAAATGTTTCTAAACACCAGGAGTAACCCAAAACAAAGCTCATGACATAACATTAAGTATAAAAACAAGATGACAAGTATAAACCTGAGCTGAAGGAAATACCCTAAGCTGTTAAGAGCAGTAATTTCTAAAAGGTGAAGTGTGATTTTAGTATTTAGAAAAACAGGAAAGTATATAATTTTCTCCTTTATTATGTACTTTTCTCTATATTTCACTTTTTACAATAAACATAATTTTATTAAGGAAAGGAAAAGTTTGGTGCTTTGAAGAGATCACTATATAGAAAGCTTCAACACTGTAAAAAAAACAAAACAAAACTTATTTCCAGAAAATTCTGAATGGAACAAAATAAGAGGTAAAAACAGAACAACAGGCAACCTTCTTCCACTGCCAAGGAGTCTCTCATTCTAATGCAGCTGATTCATTTCAAGGAGATACTGGACCCATAATCTGAGAGCTGAGATACACAAAATATGGTTCCAAGTCTCTTAGCTTTCAGATGAAAACAAAAGCAATTTGTTGTCATATATTAACATGACTTAGTATCTCCTGGAATTTTTTCTTGCTGATTGGTTCTATCGAAACTCTAAGACATCAGCTCACATAAAGATTAAAACTATTTCCCCCAAACAAAAGAGAGGCATGGTGTTTCTCCCTCTCCCCGCTTATTGTTGGATTTATTCATCCTTCTAAATTGTTTTGAGACAGTTCAGCTCTATTTAACTTCTGGTAGGTACTAGTCAAACTCATTCTTCTTAGATAGATGCTGGTTTTGAGTTCACAAAGGATGATAACCCAGTTAAACTGCAATAGAGGAGAATTGCTGGGGTGTAGCTTAGTGGTACTATGCTTGCCTAGGAAGCATGCAGGAAGCCTGGGTTCCATCCCAGCACCTCATCCAAAAAAATTATCCCCCATAATACATTATACCAATGATTATGGACTAAATACCATTAACTCCACTCTGTCCCTCCTTTCCTTTAGGAAGGCATTGAGAGAGCAGCTTATTTATATCTTGCATTTTAGTCTTATATGTAAATCTGCAGCTGATTGTTTCTACATTAAGGCTGGATCTGAATATGAACTTTGGATAATCCCCTGAATTTATTTTTTCTTCTCAGTTTTAAGGAAAATCTTACTGTGAATTATAATAGATACTTTGGAGAAACAGGGAGGGGGAAACATCTCTTACCATAACCAACCAACCAACCATTCAGTAGAATGAGCACCATTCTATTGATTTTTTTTTTTTTATTGAACCCAGGGCCTTGTGCATGCAAGGCAAGCACTCTACCAACTGAGCTATATCCCCAGCCCTTGATCATTCTTTTACAGTTAACTTTCATAAATTTATTTGAGAGATGTAAATGTAAATGAGTTACAAGATCAAAAAATTCCCCCCATTTTTATTTACTGGCATAATAAAGAAAAAATGGTACATTACAAATCTGCGTTTGTATAATAAAGGCTAAGAAATTCCAAAAATCTTTAGAGAACATTGCAACATGATTCACCATACTCTTTCCCTCTGTAGTAAACTTTTGAGAGAATTTAACAGTCTACATTTAAAGAATATTTATTTCATTGGCAAAGTGCTTTTTATGGTGTTTCATTCCATCCACTATAAAACCCTATGAACTAACTGTCATTATCTTATTTTTACAGTCCAGGAATTGAGGCTCAAAGAGATTAAGGAAGTGGCTCTTCAAAGGTCTTACAGCGTTTTCTACTTAACCAGTTTGGTTCTTGTGTAGCCTCTCAGAGCATGCATGTCATGTGAAGATAACATGGCTTATAGGAAATCATAGTATTTCTTTGGAAAATGTATTTTTATTAAGGTCCCTGGTTCCACAAGTTATTTGTACTGATATCAACATGAATGGTTTCAGCTAAGAAATAAACTCCTGGTTTTTATGCTTAAAAAATGGGATATATGATGCTTGCTAATGGGATAAAGTTAAAAAAATGGACCCAACTACTGATTATCTGTCTATCTATATCAGTGATTGGTAAACTGTGCCCCATTGGCCAGATTCCCTCAACTACCTGTTTTTGTAAGTAAGGTTTTATTGGAACTCAAATCATGGTCATTCATTTATAGATTGCCTATATCTGTTTTAGCTCTTCAGAGGCAAGAGCTGAGCAGTTGTAACAGGGACCATGGCCTATAAAGCCTAAAATATTTATTCTCTGTAAATACTTTACAGAAAAATTTCCTGACCTCTGATGTACATGATACTGAAAACTACCTTGAATGATTAAAAAAAGGTTTTTTTTGTGTGTGTGCGTGTGCATGCATGTGCTGGGTATAAAACCCAGGGCCTCAAACATGCTAACAGGCATTCTACCTGAGCAGCAGTCATACATTGAATAATTTTGTTGAAAGTATCTAATTTGGGGCTTTATTTAGACACTTCTTAAGCAAAACAAACTACCAAAACATATTTGGAGTAATTAGATAAGTCTTGTGGAATTCCAAGAATACAGCAGTAGTTCATTTCTGCTTAGTTTTCTTACCCTGTAGTGGCAAAATATCTTGGGGCCATTAACAGATTTATTAAACACCTAGATTGTATAAAAGTGTGCTAAGACAATGTATTACCTGGGGAAAGCAGTGGATTGTGAGAAAGTCTATCTTGGCTTTAGAGTCGCTTCATTATTTCATTGTGGTACCTTCTTTCATTTCCATTGATTGATGAATGAAGTTTTATTTTGTCTACAATTTTATAAATGCTTCCCATTTCAAACAGCCCCCTCCTCAGCCTTAAGAGAATTCCATTCTCCTCCTAACTGAATCCTCAATTCATTCATTTAGCTCTCAGCATGTATTGGTATTTTGATTGCTTATTGTTTTGACTTTTAAAAACTATAAACTTGGGCTGGGATACAGCTCAGTTGGTAGAGTGCTTGCCTGACATGCACAAAGCCCCAGCACCACCACCACCACCACCAAAAAAAAAAAAAAAAAAACCCAAACTCTAAACTTGATTTTATTATGTAAGTAAAGCATATTTGTTGTTGAAATGACAAAAAAGCAGAAAACAGATATGTACATTAAAGAAAACAAAACCTCTGAAGAGAATAATTCTTAATGTTTTGTTGTAAGTTCTTACTAATATTTTTATGGTGAATGCTTGTAAACTCTCAGGGTAAACAAGCCCTGATTTTCAGTGTTTGCAGATTTCCACAATGTGTTTATCCCCATCAAATGTGATCAAGCTACTAGTTGTTTAACAACTGGCTTACAAAATTCCTATTTAACAGTAAGTGCTCTTGAGTCAGTATGAAGCAGCTCAAACATGCCACTGTGTGTTTGTGTGTGTAATTTGTATGTATTTATATATGTGTATAATTTTCTTTTTTAAAAATGTAATTTTCTCTATATATTCTGTTGCCATTTGTTTCTTTTATTTACTAAATATTTTAATTTTTACTTGTTTATTTACTTATTTTTGATGCTGGGGATGAAACCCGGGCCTTGAACATGCTAAGGTGTTCAACTACTGAGCTGTATCCCCAGCCCAGCATTTTTTTTTTTATGTCAGTAGATGTATTTCTAAACCACCAGTTTTAAGCACCATATAATATTGCATTGAATGGATATATTGTGATTTATTTAATTATTCTTTCATTTTGAAGACCTTGAGAGTATTCATGAAATTTTGCTATTACAAATAATGCTATGATTCAAATTCTTGTAGTAGACTTTCTAAGTGAGAAAATATATAAGAAAATATTCTATGAGCTAAAAGTACTGTATAAATGTTAGTAGTTTCAATTACTTATTATCCTTATCCAATATCCCATTGCCCCATTTAGATAATGAGCACCTCTCAATGAGGCAGGGGTACATCCAGCTATTTTTTGCATTCCCTGTAGCACTGAGTAAACTGCGTCTTCACTCTTCATATATTTGAGGGGGGAAAAATGCTTGTTGGTTTATTCTATCTTCCAATCTATATTGTTGTTAATGGTCTGGCAGTGTGAAGTGGCTAAAGTGGCTAGGCCTCATTCAGTCCCCAGTCACATATTTGTGTTTGGGACCAGCTGGGCTCAAACTCATGACCTGAACTTGGTTATAATTATTTTCAGCTGAACAAACTGGCACATGCTATTTTGTATGTTTTCATGTAATATATTGAAGTAATCTTGACCTCACTGCACAAAATGTACTAGATAAACCTCCCCCCCCCATAGTACTGCACTCCTTCTTTCTCCCAGAAACAAGGAGCAAAGGTAATAATCACAAAATATGTTCATTTTGTACTCACCAGAAGTGTTCCTGCATTTCCTCCCTTGCATCAATGACTTATTTTATTATTTCAAATTATAAATGTATTCTCACTGCCATAGTTGCCTCAGGGTGAGAGTATAAAGTTAACATTCAATAAAGTAGATGAAGCTATAAAATCTTCTAGCAGTGTTATAAGGTTGTTATGAAAGTACATGTTTCAAGGGGAAAAAAAAGCCTTCAACAATTTTTAAACCTAAGGCCATGAATGTTTTTCCTATTCCTAGGGATAACCCATTTTCCCTGCCTTTTATTATGGAAAATTTCAAACATATAGAAGAAAACTTGATTTCTCCTGTGAACACCCAAGTACCCACCACCTAGACTTCACGATTAACATTTTGTTTCACACTTTTAGCCATCCCTGTCTGTCTCTCAATGTGTGTGTGTGTGTGTGTGTGTGTGTACTTAAACCACAGGCATTAGTACTCTTCCCCTTTTCAGCAGCCATATCATTACCTAAAGAGGAAATCAAATTTAAAAGCCAGATATTCTCATTCTGGAAATGTTATTGGTTAAGACTTTGTCCCTAGAGCAGGCTTGGAATTCTATAAGTAAGACATATCTGGCAAGCCACTGGGCATAATTGGCTTTAGCCCTGCCATGTAAGGGCTTATGAGGACAATGAGATAGGTAACATATTGTGGTCTTCCAGTGAAATGCTAGATGGCAAACTTTCCTGAGCTGGGCAATTGCCCAACTATACTTTCTGCTTTAAGTAGAATGGTTTGGGGAATCTATTATAGGGAGTGTGTGTGTGTGTGTGTGTGTTATTGCCATCTTTCACAGCAAAGTAGCTATCTTTTCTGCTTTATAATTGAGAGAAAAGGCTCAGAGGATAAGTTATTTGCCCAGGGCTGCACAGCTGATGTGTCAATAGGGAAAACTGAATATTTTTCTGTGACTTGAGCCTGATCGACTTGCCATTCTCTAGTAAGTTTCCTTTCCTCTGTGGTCTTTGGTGTCACCCCTCAATTTGGTTCTTACTCAATTCCCATTGGCCTGCAGGAGGGCCTGAAGAGGACCAAGTGCTTAGAACTGGTCCTTGGAGGGGATAACTTAGAGGGATGATTATAGTCCAAAATAGCCAAGTCAAGGCTTTGAGAATCAGAACAATTGGAAGCAGAATGACTGAGAAAGGAGAATCCTGCCCATCTGTAATTATTATGACTTGCTGATTTGTTTTCAGGTGTTTTGAAGTCTTCTGCATCTACTGTCAGTCAAGCCACAGTGAAGAACCTTATGTCAGCATCACCAAGAAGCGGCAGATGCCAAAAAATGGCTTCTCAGAGGAGATTGAGAAGGAGGTGGGCCAGGCAGAAGGCAAGCTATTTACCCACCGTTCTGCATTTAGCCGGGCTTCAGTGATCCAGGCTTTTCTGGGCTCCGCCCCCCAACTGACCCTGCAGCTGTATATAAGCGTCTTGGAGCAGACCATCACTGTTGGAAGAGGTATGTATATTTTTTTAATTCTCTTTGCACTTGGGGCTCCAAATGGGAGACAAAACATGCTGTTTATTTTGTTTCAAGTGAAAGTCCTTTGTACACGCCTTTACTCATGAGTCTGTGTTCTACTTACTAAGCTCAAAGTTTAGTGAATTAAAATGATAACATTGAATTTGCTTCAGAATCTGCATTTTGGACAGGGCTCAAAGGGGAAGAAAGCTTATCGATGCTCCAACTGTGGATCAGCTGAGTGACTCAAAGATGGGGGACTAGAATCCATTGAAGCCCCATTCATTCACATGTCTTATTGCTCCCATGTTTTTTTTTTTTTTGTACTGAGGATTTAACTCAGGAGTGCTCTACTATTATGCTATATCCCAAGCCCTTTTATTTATTATTATGAGACTGAGTCTTACTAAGTTGCTGAGGCTGACCTTGAACTTGTGATCCTCCTGCCTCAGTCTCTTGGGTTGCTGGGATTACAGGCTTGTGCCACTGTGCCCAGCTTCATATGTCTTAATGCTGGCTGTTATTGGGGATCCCGGGTCTCCTCCATTTGATCTCACTATGTAGTTGAAGTTGGACTTCCTCACAGCATGGTGGCTGCTTCCAGGAATAGTTTCCTCATAGTGAGAAAAGGCTTGGGCCAGATGGAAGCCATGTGGCCTTCTGTGATCCAGCCTTGGGAGACATGGAATATCACTTGTGCAGCCTTCTCTGTTAAAGCAGTCACAGAGTCAGGTGACTTTCCTTTTAAGGAAAGGGGAGGGAAGTAAACTCTTGTTAGGGAATGGAAGATCATGAGAGACCAAAAATACCACTGTGACCATTTTTAGAAATGATGGTTTGCCTTTAGAAAAGACAGAGGCTGGTCCTCTTGGAATTTCATCTGTCTTTCAATGATAGCTCTAAATTAGCTGAGATGGTTGATTGTGATATATTTTTTAAAAATTCTGATTTCAGCATTTTCTTAAGTGAATGTTTTTTCAACTAAAAGCTTTGTGGTGCATGGTGGATCAAGGCCACTATCCTGTCTTCTTGAAGTTCTGATTGGTATATTAGGAGCTTTTGCTTTTAAGTGAACACAATTTTCTAACCTTTGGGCTATTCTTACATCATAAAATTAACAGCAGATTTTTAGCTAATTCAGGTTTCCCACAAAACCTCTATTTATATTGGACACAAATGAAAAACCTTCAAATGAGAGGGCAAATAACCCTTCCTATACATTAATATTATACATAAATGAAAAATGGGTACTCTGATAAGTTTTACTACAGACATGCAAAATGGTTTCAAAGCTTTTAGTTGAAAAAATATACATTTAAGAAAATGCTGAAATCAGAATTTTTTTAAAAAAATACTCTTATTTGTTTCACTCCGTTCAGTTTTATCTTCTTTTTGCCTGTATTTTAAATGGGATGGTAAATGTCTTAATTCATGATGGTGTTATATGATACTTACAAGTCAGAGGGGCTTCCTTATCACAGGTTACCTGACTATGACTCTTAAGATATGAGTCAGGGGCTGGGGTTGTGGCTCAGTGGTAGAGCACTCGCCTAGCACATGCGAGGCCCTGGGTTCGATCCTCAGCACCACATAAGAATAAATAAGTGAAATAAAGATATTATGTCCAACTACAACTAAAAAATAAATATTTTTTTTTAAAAAGATATAGGTCAGGATCTTAAGTAGTGGTCTTGAACCACAACCCCTGGTAGACAGTAGGTACTGAATAAGTATAGCAGCATCTTTAATCTCTAAGGACTTATAACTGAAATGGGTCATGACTAAGGTATGTTTTCTGAGTACAGTATACCCCTTTCCCAGTTTATTGCTTTTCCAAGTGGGCAGGAACATAGTGAAAAATAAGATGTAGTGATAACCTGTTGATTTTTATAAGCAGATCCATTTTTTCTCAAGTTTTTGATAGTGATGACTGCCTTATGGGCCTAATCAGGGCACTGCCTATTTTTGTAAATAAAATTTTATATGGAACACAGCTATCCTTTTTCATGTGTATACTGTCTCTGGCTGTTTTGGGGCTACAGTGTCATAGAGATGAATAGTTACAACAGAAGCATATGGTCCACAAAGCCTAAAATATTTATTGTCTACTCCTTACAGAAAATGTTTGCCAACCCTTGTAGTTTTTCAGACAGAATTTCGTTCAGGAAAATAAAATCTATCTTCTAAATATCCCTTGTCAGTATCACAAGAGATATCTGTGAGATATACCAAGAAGTTGGGAAAAATATAAGTCCTCTGAGAGCTAAATGAAAAATCAGTTAGACCTGGAAAGAGGAAGTAGTTATGAGCCTGTTAAATGGACAAATGGCTGCCATTTATGCAACCCAAATCACTACTTTAACGCTGAGGAAGGAATCCCTCACCCAGAAGGGGCAAGGCCTTTATAAATGGAATGTGGGCTAGGATGTGTCACAGGCAAATTTTGGAACTGTCATATGTTTGGGAATACATTTGGTGCATGGAATAAACACCTGATTACAGGTTAAACAACCCAGTGTTGATTTGGCTCATGTAACAAGAAATTGGAGGTGGGTAATTGCTGGCATTATTTCAGCAGTGGAGAAGTTGATGTCCCTGCAGATCCATTGGCCTTTGTCTTGGGTTGTTATTATGTTTGCAACCATCATAGCTGCATTCAAAGCAGGAAGAAGGGCTGAGGAGGGAGGAGCAGATGACTTTCTCCTTTTATTACTAAATATAACTTTCCCAGAAATCTCCCTGGTGGAATTTACTTTAGGTATCATTGACCAGAAGTGATCATATGGTCACCTGATTGAGAGAGATGCTTGGAAAATCAGGGATAGGAATGATAGCCACCAATGTTTTAAACCAGTGTATTAAAGTTTGGATATGAGATGTCTCCCAAAAAGTTCACATGGCAAAGCAGGAGTTTTCAGAGGTGAGGTGATTAGATTATAAAAGCTATAACTTAATTGATAGATTAGTCCATTTGATGGATTAATAATTTGAATGTATTACTAGGAAGTAACTATGGGGGGTGTGGCTGCAGGAAGTAGGTCACTGGGGGGGGGGCACCCTTGGGGATTATATTTTGTCCCTAGCTCCTTTCTTTCCCTCTCTGCTTCCTGCTGCCTGGAATTGAGCAACTTTCCTCCATCCATACCCTTCATCCATGATATTCTGCCTTACCTCAGGCCATAGCAGAGGAGTCAGCTGACAATGGACTGAACCTCTGAAACCATGAGCTGAAAACAAACTTTTCTTCCTCCAAGTTGTTCTTGTCAGGTATTTTGGTCACAGTTACAAAAAGCTAATACCAGGATTCTTCATAATCCCGTAAGGATGATTAGAATTACTTGGAGCCTTGTTAAATATATAGATTACCAGAACTCATCTCTGGAAACTGATTTGTTGGGTATGGGTTGGGAGATGGAGGCCCAGGGTATATCTTTTTATTTTTTCTTTTGTTTTTTAACAGTGAATCCAAGTGATCCTATTATCAGAGAAGTTTGGGGACATTGGATTAGGTTACTCATGATGGCCTGGGGTTGGGTCTCACTTAGAACAAAACTGTGTTTTCTTAAAAGACAATAAGAGGGATGAATATTGAATAGACAGATAACAGTATCTGCCATGCCATCTAAATGTGTTCTAGACCAATAGAAATATCTGTCCTCTTGACAGGAGAGGTACCTGGAGTCCATCAGAACCTGACTCCATTCAGGATTCAAATTCTATTACCCTCTACTCTCCAATTCTGTGCTCCTGAGCAAACACTGATGAATTTGGCCTTGGAAGGGTTTGGCATGAAAAATAAGCAGAGTTGCTTTTTTAATATTATAATATTTATATAATATAAAGTTTTAAATTAGACCATTTTTATGTGTACAATTTAGTAACTTTTAGTATAGTCACAGTGTTGTTGGGCCATCATCACCACTATCTATTTATAGAACATTTTCATTATGCCAAAAAGAAAACCCTACCCATTAATAGTCACTCCTCATTTCCTGTGCCCCTAGACTCTGGCAACCACTAATCTACTTTCTGTATCTGTGGATTTGCCTGTTGTGTGTATTTCATATAAAAGTTTTCTTTTTCAGTATGAACAAATAGTAAACACCATATTTATGAGCTTCAGTCTAGGGTGAGTTTAGCCATCCTGAGACACTGTGAATTTAGTCAGTTCTTACCAGAGGCTTGATGAAGTCACCGAACCTTGGAAAATGTGTTGGGCTGAAGCCCAGGTAAGGAGAACAAGGTTGTTCTGCTCTGGGAAGGTCCCTACAGTCTGCCATTTGGCCTGCCTGGACTTGACAGTGCCCTTCTCTCTCCCATTTTAGGTGGTAATGTTGATCTTCATAATGACTTGCTTTGTGCCAGGCAGTGTGATGAACATCATAGCATTTCATTTTCAATGTCCCTGTGAGGTGGAAAATATTTTCTTCATCTTTCTAAAGAGGGAAATTACATTCATGGTCCAGCAGAGGAGCCAGGATTTGAAGTTAGATTTGTGTTGTTTCATTTATGGATGCAATGAGTTGTTTTTCTTTCTTTTTTTTTTTTAAGAGAGAGGAGAGAGAGAGAGAGAGAGAGAGAGAGAGAGAGAGAGAGAGAGAGAGAGAGAGAGAGAGAGAGAGAGAGAATTTTTAAATATTTATTTATTTTTTTAGTTTTCGGCGGACACAACATCTTTGTTGGTATGTGGTGCTGAGGATCAAACCCAGGCAGCACGCATGCCAGGCGAGCGCGCTACCGCTTGAGCCACATCCCCAGCCCTGCAATGAGTTTTTATTGAGTATGTTCTGCATTTCAGACCCTGTGCTGGTCTCTGAGGATAAAGTGGTGAAAAGGTGGGCAGGCCCTATCATCTTAGAATAGGATAAATAGACATGAAACAATGAATCATGTATTCATTTTGTTGCAGATAAATCCTGCAAAGTGTGAGGGGAAGATTGGGGGAATCTAACCAAGCCTAGGAGATGAGACAAACCTTTCTAGAACATAGGTTTATA